TGTGTGTATGTATCTATATATACAACAAACCTTGTTTTTTTTTTTTCCAGGTTGGGCAGTTTGTTCAAGAAAAGCTCAATCCTCAATTTGGCAGTGTGATTAAAGCCAGCAGTGAACTGCGCAACTCTGTGTCGCAAGGGGCCAAGCATTTCAGCTGTGTAGCACTAGCTGCACTCAATCGTAGGGCCATGAAGGGGTCAGCAAATCTACCGAAATCCTTTTTTTCCCTTCAGTGCCTTTGTACAAGATATCATGGCTAGCATTTTGAGTTGTTTTGCAACACGAAGTCAGAGGCTCAAGTTCTTGAAAGTTTTCTTAGTTAAAATTTGCACATTAATAATACATTATCACCGTATCATTGGGAAAAATAAACTAAATTAATCATTCTCTGAAGCTTAATGTCTGTGCTGTGACCTAGTCTTTTGTTTTTAATCAGCAGAGGGCAGAAATTACCAGCAGCTCAGCTTTCCATCCACCGGATACAGTCCTCAGCTTTCCACAAACTCTGTCAAAGTCTTTCATTTCCCATGTATATGGTGAGATGCTCACTTACAGTCTGTTAATACTCTTCACTTATTCCTCATCTTTCTGAGAGCCATTTCAGTTAATAACTCATCAAGCACCCGTTAGTAAGTCCATTGTTTTAACATGCAGAAAGTGTCAATTTTCTAATGATTGTTCATATCATATGTAGATTAAATATAGTGGTGGGCAAAATGATTAGAACATTAGTATTTTCGTGCACCGGCTAAAACATGGTTTTAAGTCAGTTATTTCTGTCTTTTGCTGTAGTGTGTCAGTAGGAAATATCAGTTTACATTTCCAAACATTAATTTTGCCATTAATTGTAATAATCCAGTGAGATTTTTGTCTGACAACAGCCAGTGCTCCACACAGAGATCTGATCTGATCATCATCCAGACTGTCTGGAATGACATGAAGAAACCGAACAAACTGAGACCAGAAGAACTATGGCAACGTCTCAAAGATGCTTCAAGAGACCTACGTGTAAAGCTCCCTGAGAAACTATGCTCAAGTGCACCTATAGGGCAAAAGCTGCTTTAAACACAAAGGATGGTCACACCAAATGTTGATTTAATTTAGTTAATAGAAGTTAATTAATAAAGAAGATTTATTACAATATTTTTGACAGCATCCTCATTTTACAGCATTTTTACACAAATGCCTAAAACTTGTAACAGTACTATAGCTTTGCAGGTAGGTCTCTTGAAGCATATTGGAGACGTTGCCACAGTTCTTTTGGATTGAGTCTGTCGCAGTTTGTTCTGTTTCTTCATGTCATTCCAGACAGACTGGATGATGATCAGATCAGATCTCTGTGTGGAGCACTGGCTGTTGTCAACATTTCACTGGATTATTACAATTAATGGCAAAATAAATGTTTGGAAATGTAAACTGATACTTCCTACTGACACACCACAGCAAAAGATAGAAATAACTGACTCAAAACCATTTTTAAGTTGGTGAAAATACTAGTGTTCTAATAATTTTGGCCACCACTGTATGTTCATCAAAGATCGACAGTATCCATATCAAGCTTTTTTTTTTAACCTGAAATGTAAAAACTGATGGTGGGAGTCTCATCTTTCTTTGCCAGGCTCCAGAAGAGCTGTGGTCTCAAGCTGCAGTTTTAAGGCTGGAGTTAAGACATCTGCGCAGGCTTCTTCAGCTTTTCTCAGAGTCATCAGCAGACCTGCAGAAGCTGACCGCACGGCTACCATCGCCTGATCAGCAGAGTATGTCATTAAGGCAATTTTTTAAAAACTTGGACCACTCTTTTTGACCTGCTGTTTCCCCCCGAATGAAAGATTTTGTGAGTGGTAAGAGCCTAGATTCCATGGTGTTTTGATGTCTGTTTCAGCTTTGGTACAGCGTGTGAAGATGGTAGATGATGAGATTCTGCAGACGTTGCTCCCACGGGCCCGTGAGCTCACACAGAGGTGCTCAAAAGGCCTGCTTTACACAGACCAAGTGAAGACTGCCATCACACACTGGTAATACTCTCAAATGTTTCCGACATGGGCCCTTTGTGGAATAGTCAAGTCACCTTTTTTTTTATAGCGCTTTATACAATAGAGATTGTTTCAAAGCAGCTTCACAGTATTAAACCGAATCAATGATGCAAACTTCAAAAATGAGATATAGTTTGTAACTAACAGCTAAGACATCAATACTGATCCCAAACTGTTTAAACTGTGACTTTAATCAAATTTAACACGGTTTGATTGTGTCTGTGTGCAGGTGGGAGCAGCCTGGACAGTTTGCCCTGCCAGAGATGCAAAGAGAGGGACTGACTTTCCAACAGTGGCTTCAACGATGGAAACTGGCAACAAAGGAATCCTAACTTAGTTTTGCATTTGAGAGCAAAATTTATGTTGGGGAACGTTTTCTGTACATAATTTATATTTCACTTTCTTTCAATTTACTCTTACATTGTGTTCAAAATAACCTGGGATTTAATAGGCTAATTTAGGATTTCTTAGTTATTAACTTTTCTGGCAACAAAGGAATCCTAACTTAGTTTTGCATTTGAGAGCAAAATTTATGTTGGGGAACGTTTTCTGTACATAATTTATATTTCACTTTCTTTCAATTTACTCTTACATTGTGTTCAAAATAACCTGGGATTTAATAGGCTAACTTAGGATTTCTTACAGTTATTAACTTTTCTGCAACAGATTCAGTTTGTGTTTGAGGATACATCCTGTTCAAGAAATATTTTATGCACCTTTTTCTGGATTTCTCAATAAATAATCTAATAAACTGGAATAAAGGTGCAGTTGTGTCTTCTCTTTTGTGGTGTCGTAAATCTCCCTACTGAAGGTTACTAAGATGCAAAATGCATGTGCTGTTGCCAGTGTTGTTTGCAATGTAGTACAGTATGCTCTTGTAGGAGCTTGTGTAACGGTAACAGTAGTGGTACTTCTGGGTTAGATCAAACATTGATCTGTAAACACAATTAAAGCGCATCCATCTCTTATTGATGTAATTTAGGTGCAGTTGTGTCTTCTCTTTTGTGGTGTCGTAAATCTCCCTACTGAAGGTTACTAAGATGCAAAATGCATGTGCTGTTGCCAGTGTTGTTTGCAATGTAGTACAGTATGCTCTTGTAGGAGCTTGTGTAACGGTTAACAGTAGTGGTACTTCTGGGTTAGATCAAACATTGATCTGTAAACACAATTAAAGCACATCCATCTCTTATTGATGTAATTTCAGATCATTTCCTATAGTGTATAATAGGAATGTTCAGTCATGTGTAGCCCTTAAAGACTGATTTATAAGCTGTGTAAATGTACTGCTGTGTAATACTGTGTTTTTGAACAGTAAAATGTCAGGCTGTGTTTTCAAAGATTATAAGGAAACTAACAGTTCAAAAGTCCGGTGTCATGTTTTTGAAAGAAACATCACTAAGGTTGCATTTTTTTTTTTTTTTTAATAAAAAATACAGTAAAACGATAATATTGTGAAATACTAATAAATCAAGAAACTTGCTGAAGAAACATTTATTATGAATGTAGAAAACTGTTCGGCTGCTTGTTTTTGTGGAAATCGTGATGCTTTTTTCAGAATTCTTTGATAAATAGGAAGTTGAAAAGAGTATTTGAATTTGTTGTACCAGTGTAAAAGTCTTACTGTCAATTTTGATCAATTTAATCCATTGTTGCTGAATGTATGTCTGACCTCATTTCTGTGAGTAATTTATAGTCATTTCTGTCTGACATAAAAATGGCATTGCTTTAATACGATGATAATAGTCTTACAAACTGTTTATCTAAAGACAGCAAAATACATCCACAAAAAAGGAGCAGGGCAATTAGCAGGACTTGCCATTTAGATAGCAAAGACAACTAAAAAATAGACAACAAAGCATAGACTTTTTTCAGGGTGCTTTATAATACTCGATATCAATTTTAAGCAACTGAAGTTAAAAACTGAATTTTCTTTCATATACATTTTTTCACCCTCACAATCAAAAGATCACGCATTAGAATGCTTACAAATGATTCCAGAGGCAGCTGTCACAATGGCTAAATTTTTCTTTACACCCTGATTCAATGGCATTGTTTCTGGCTTAAGGCTTGGATAATGTCATACATAGACACTTCTCTGTAACCAAAAACAATCACACATAAAATCATGAACTGAACTGTACACATAAAAGTAAACATAACATTTGAACTTAAAATGAAATGTCAGGAAATGTCAGATCTCTGCCTTTTTTATGTCCAGTCTACTGCAAGTGATTGATGACATAGATATGTTATAAAGACTCAATCTGCTTTAGCAGCCCAATTATCGTATTCTGGTGAAGAGGTTTAAAACTGACACAGATTCCTGAAAGACAAAAAAAAAAAAGATAATTAAATTGAGGACATGAACTTGAGGAAAAGCCAGTATTTCACAAAAATAAATAAATAATAATGAAAAAACCTTACCTTTGTTGATCGTGTTTTACTAAATACATTCCAAAAACGCAGAGTTTCATCACCTGCACCAGTCACTATTGCCTCTCCATCGGGAGACATTGCCTTTAAGATAAAAATATCAGTAAACTGCATTCAGAAATACTATTAAAATAAGAGTCAATTGTTAAAATAAAACAACAGAAGTTAAGGTACTAACCAGATAGAGCACCCTATACGAGTGGCCAGTCAATTTGGCTACTTGAGTAAGTGAGGGGTATTTCCACACGAGGATCTGATTCTGAGAGTAACCGTGTGTGCTGACCTGGAGACAATGGAGACACCATCATGACTATTAGTCTATAACCAACCATAGACATCAACACTAAGCATTTGGTCAGTTGATCAGAGTAAACGTACCAGTTCGTTGGTGTGTTTGGACCAGGCCAGGTTGCAGACTTGTGAGCCTGTGTCGATACACTGCAGTGGCTGCGCTGTGAGAGTGTTCCAGAAGCGGATGCAGCGGTCTGCTGTTCCCCCTCCGGAGGCCAGCAGCCCGTGTTGGTGAGGAGACCAGGCGATGGCCTTCACTGCGGCCAGGTGTTCTGTGTACTGCTGCATCGGTAACACGCTCGAGTGATTCCACACTAACAGCTGCACGATCAATCACAGGAATGCTTTTAGAGAGACGCAGTCACCAAAAAATATATTTTTGTGCTAATATATTGTACATTTTGTAAATTATATAGAGCAGTCAGGTCACCTTGTTGTCATTTCCTCCGGAAGCCAGCAGCTGATGGTCAGTGCTCCACTTGAGTCCGCAGACCTCTTGTCTATGACCCTGCAGCCTACGCTCTGACTGCAGAGGGGGCGTCCTGATATCTCTCTGAAGGATCATGCGGTCCCGGCTGCCTGATGACAGCTGATCTGCATTCCAGGCCAGTGCACCTGAGGGCAGAATTCTCAGAGTTTTCATAACAGGTTTAACATACATTTCACTAGAATGGGAAGCACATCAGAAAGTAAATGTCAAAAATGGACTTCAACTATAAATCAGTCCGAGCAAGAGTGAACATGTTTGGGGACAGTAACATTTCTTTAAAAGTCAAGATTTAAAAGAACTGTACTTTTTTTGGTTGAATATATTTTAATATGTTATTTATTCCTGTGATGGCAAAAGTCAAATTTTAAGCAGCCATTTCTCCAGTCTTTAGTGTCACATGATCCTTCATTCTAAGATGCTGATTTGGTACTCTAGAAACATTCTTATTACCAGTTTTGCTGCTTAATATTTTAGTGGAAACCATGATACTTTTCAGGATTTACTTAAAAAAAAAAAACCCGATAAAAAGAACAATTAATTTGAAATAGATTTTTTTTGTAACAAGGTCTGTAATGTCACTTTTTATAAAGGTTTTTAATGTCATTTTGTCAATTTACTGTATACCTGCTAAATAAAAGTATAAATTAAAAACTGGGTTACACTTTTTTTATAGTGTCCTTGTTACAGTGTAAGTATACATATAAGTACTGAGTAATATTAATTAACTACATGTACT